GATATCTAGTGCCGGCTTAAGTATATGTAGAAATTTATTTATTCAGAACTCTGATATGCCTTAAGCATGTGCAAGAAATAGACATAAGTATAATAAATAACTAATACAATTCAGGCTTAATTGTCTCAGTGCTTAAAAGCAAGATAAAATTTAACGGAACACTTGTCGTTAGTCACGAAGCTTATGATGCATAGCCAAATATGTATAGTGAAGGATAGCTGAATTTGATGATGATAGCCGCTAATTTTAAAGGTTTTCGAATATCACAAAACAAAGGTGAAAGTTTCCAATTAACAGATTTTGTAAAGAAACATGGAGAAGCGGTAATAAATGAAGATGATATAAAAGATTTTCATTGTGATGACAATGCTTTTCAATCATCAATCAATTAAATCAATCAATTAATGAAAGGCGAAATCTGTAGTATGGTTCTAGATCCAGAAAATAACGCTACCAATAGTGAAGAAAGTGACAGAGAGGTTACTGAAAACGAGAAATTTTAGATTGACAAATTAGTCGGAATTCTCTGAACAGCAGTCACAGGACTTCAACAATGTAACTAAACAAGCGATTATGTCTGTCTACAGAATTAAACAGGACATATTAGCACAAAAAACAAAGCAATTTTAACAACTTACATTGAAAGAAATGTTTAATAAGGCAAAAAATAAATATTAAGCTTTTTATTTTGTGAATTTTGATATCCTTTAGATCATAAATACTTCATTATTTCATAAATCACGATTTCATATTTTTAATTTTATAATTTCTACATGCCATCTTACTAGATTTAAAAGGATGATCTAATATCCGGAAAAATCCCAAAGTCCCAACAAGTCCGGATTTCATACTTTGTACTGTAGTGATATTTCTTATGAGCAGCGTAGGAAAAAAACATTAATTTATAAATCTTAATTTTATAAATCATAAATATCCATCCAGATATGTGTCTACAATAAAACTAATAAAAATAAGGCATGTATAAATTTAAGGAAAAAAAAAAGTTCTGTTATAAAATTTTAATAATGAATAAAAGTCAAAAATTTTAGCTACTATTTAATACAATGCAAAAGGTCAAAATACATAAGGTTAAATTTATAAGTGTATTTTGATTTCAATACTTGTGCTAAAATTCAAAACTATATATAATAAGAACCACAAAAGTGGTAAGAATTTGGGAACAAAAATATGGTTAGGCTAAAAATAACCTGAGGACTGTGGATATAAAATTAATTTATGATCGAAAATTTTAATATCTAATAGAAGACTTTATTACAGACCAACAAACAGTAAAGACAGACTGTACACCACTGCTTAGAATACGAACACAGAAATAACTTTTTTAAAGCCAAATGTTCAAATACTCTTGCTCTTTTATGATTCAGAAATGTAGATTTTTTTTTTTTTTTTTTTTTAATTTTACAGTGCATGGTCAATTTCATAAGAAATTAAGCAAAATCAAAATTTGAATAATAAAATAAAAACTTTGGCTAAATATGACTGACCCTAAATAATTAAAAATCTACAGCTTATAGGATACTTATGATAAGCTGAATATATAAATCCATACTTATACATAAATAGATAATTTATACTTATTGATTAAGAAACTTAGCAATGATATTTCAGAGTGGAGTGCAGTTAACTTTTCTAAAACACATTTCTTGATACAACTGAAAACAAAACAAATGCATTTCACTTTTCTTCAAAGTCCAGCAGCTGCTTTAAAAGATATTAACAACTGAATGAAATTCACGATGATTTACTCACAGGTGCAGGAATATGCAGAACGCAAGATTTATATGTTATTTACATAGTGATATGCAGAGTCAAATTACAAGTTGTGTCCTCATGTGCATAAAATATACATAAATTGTAGAACTATGAACTGTTGAAAAAGGCTACATGAATATTTATCTCACAAAAACAATACCATTATTTTTTGGCTTTGTAATATAACTAATATTAAAAGTGTATTTAAAACGTGCAGTAGGTAATTTATTAATATCCTTTAAATATTCCATGAATTTTCTGCTTTTGCCCATAATAGCATTAATGGGATTTCCAATTACAACTGCTAGTTTAAACTGAACACACCTATTATAAAAGAATCTTGCTGATAGATGAATCAAAAGTATTCCAAACCACATGGCATATGAAGAAATATAAAAGTAAAATGCTTATGTTTCTAACCAGAATTATCTCCAACAAAAAAATCAATTTTTACTGTTGTATTTCCTTGAATAACCCTCTCCTCAGTGTTTTTAGCCTCAAGGCTCTGAAAACTTTATATATATTTAAGTGATTTTCTCCTTCCTTACGAGAACAAGCTCCCCTAAATTTTTAAATTGGATTTGTTTATCTAGTAATTATTTTTTTCTTACTGATAAAACTAATTCCTTGTGAACTAGATGCAAAGGTCACACTGTACCACTTCTGTTACAACAGTTGAACTTTACGCCACTCAATACAAGAACTCACCCATCACAATGAAGAAAATACGAACTGACATTCAGTCTCTAATTTCGCCAATATAACTGCACATTGTTTATGAATTGTTAATTGCTTATGAATGATCTAAGGTCTAGAAAATAGCACAAACAACAAAAAAGTGGGCAAGATTCAAGTATGTAACAGGGAAACAGAAATGAAGATATCTTATTAGATATTGCAATGCTATACTCTAAATCTTATTACATACCATTATGTATTTTTATTGAAATATAGGTTTCTTTTAAAGAAATAATATGATGATAGTTATCTGTAGTTTATCCATGACTACCCTTAATTTTTATGTTCTTATTGTAACTGTATCCTTCAGAAGTTAAATTATTCACATAATTTCCCCTCTCAATTTTCAAATGATAAGATTAGTAAAAAAAGAAGAGAAAATTGGGGAAAAAAAATATAGGAATAGCAATTTTTCAAATTGCTGTTACCAATGAAAATTTGACAAAGTAAGTCAAGGAGTTAACCTTTACTTATGTCTCTAATTATAGCTGCCCAGACAGTATAGTGGTTAGGAAGGCCTGACTGCTATACCAAAGGGCTGGGTTTGAGTCCCAGAGAAGGCATGGATGTAAAATTGGAGGTAACGGTGGCCACCTATTAGATGCCTCCGCAATAAAATGGCCACCACTTCTGATCTTAGGAGTGGCCAATGCCGTTATAGGCAAATGCCCGCCATTACAAAAAAAAAAAAAAAAAAAGTCTCTAATTATTGAAAACTTTTATCACAGAAACCTATTCATGTCACCATCATCAAAATATGTAAAATGGTTTTATAGATAGTTTAAATGAAAATGAATGTTTGAAACAGTTTTCAATACCTTTCAAACGAAATTTCTATACCTTAGAAATGTGCTTTTTATAAAACAAAGCATCAATGTTAAAAAAAAAATTATTAATATATATAACTGAAACCATTCAAAATGTTTTCATTTCACTTTTTAAGGGGAAGGGGACTTGCAAGAAGAAAAAGTACATAAGAGCAAAAATATTTGACACATCAATGCAAAATTTTCAATTTATTACTTATCAAATCAAAGCAGTCTTAATTGTCTGCTACAAATACTTTATACATACAAAATATTCAATATTTGAAAGGAAAAAAATGAAAGAAAAGCATTAAAACTATACTATAGTTTATTAAAGTGTGATTGGTTATTATTGGCAAAATTAATATAAATCCACACAAGCTTGCATAATAATTAATGAAATAGTTTATGATAATGATTTTTCTTTCATAATCTTATTTTCAGTATCCTCTCAAAAATACAAATTTGTTACAGGAAAATTTCATCATAAAAACTAAGTTAATTACAAATTTCCCCCCTGAAGGAAACATTAAAAAAATTAATGTTTCAAAATGTAAATAATAATGAATTAAATTTGGGAAATTTAGATCATGAAGACAAAATAACCTCATTTCAAAAATAAATAAATAAATGGGTAAACTAGCAAATTAAGTCTCTAGCTTCCCACAAACAACGTTGGTCTATCTATTCCTTTGCCAGTCAGGGTCCAGACAATCTCACAAACAAAAATCTTCCATAAGAGCCTTCCCAGTGACAATAGTAAGAAGAAAAAAAAATTATCTACAGTTTGAAAGATTAAAATTACAAAAGATGCATATTTTTACAGCATGGCATTGCTTTGCTCCATGTAACAAGATGGCCTAAAACAAAGGTAGATCTCCTGATTAACATTCACGATATTTGGCTACTAAAAATTCAAAGCACTACTAAATATTTTTATAACATATTCTAGAGAGAAAACTCATAGGCAAATCATTCAAATTCCCTTATAAAATCAAGTCAGAAAATAAACAGAAATATTTTATTTCTTATTGGAAATACATACGACATTTTTTAGTCGTTGATCATTTGATACCGACCAATAATAATCATCAAAAATACCATGCGAAATTCTGATTTTTGCTAGAATTTGACAGCCCTATATGCTGTTCTGTATTTTCTACAATGATGAGATATTTTTACTTCTTTTCCTTTCCGTTTCTTGTTTACAGTCATTTAGTTTTTATTTATTCATTTTAGAGGTTTTTAAGGTTTAGAAGCTTAAGGGTTTTTTTTTTTTTTTTTTTTAAAGCCAACTTTGATTTTGAGACTGGTATCCTCATGCAAACAGAATATGTGTGGAGATTAACAAAAAATGGCAGAATAAGTAGCAGCAAGGTACAATTCATCACTACCTGCCATCTTAATCTTACTTTTGATGCCATACTGAAGGCAACTGACAAATAGTACTGCCAGTATACATAACCCAAATTTGCCAAAAGATTATTTACATAAGCAAATACCAGAAAACCAAGAAGTACTACCTTTTTTTTAATATGGGAATTATTTAAGATAAATTTTATTAAAACTAAGAAATTAAAACTAACAAAGGAAATATGGTCCATGTTTTTGGAAAATATGGATAACTCAATCTAATTATATGATTTATGAAATGGTGTTAGCAAAGGAATGTAATTTTCTTACAGTGGTCGGGGAGGATCAGATGCTAACAGAGTTCCATCATTCTGAATTTGGCCTTCATCTTCCTCCTCCTCTTCTTCGGAATCAGAACCATTTCGATTCACACCTGCAGGTTTCTCAGAAATGATTCCATTAATTCCTGGGGGTGTTTCTATCAAATTTGAGGAAACTCGACCATTATTGTTATGATTTGATAAACTACCAGCACCTCCTATGGCTAAGTCATTTAACTGAGCAGCTAAAACTTCTAAATCCTAAAAAAGGGGGAAAAAAAATTACACTCGTATTTTCCCATTAAAATAACTAACTTCTCATTTACACTAGGCAACCCTTTTTTTTTAAATGCACGTTTAAGATTTTCGAGGCATCTATTTATCGTCATCCCATTTGTAAATTCATGAAAAACAGTGAAGGCTGCCAAAGAAGACAAATAGATTATAATTCATCTGAAAAACTGTAAAATATGTAAATGATTTGGATGATTTTGTCAGAAAGATAAAAATGTAAATAAATAACATTATTCAGTTTAATACATTCTCATCAGGGAAGGTTTATGTCTAGTAAAAGAACTACAAAAACACAGTGGAATGTTAACAAATATATGAAACTAATAAAATTAAACTTCTTACAGCAGTTTTGAATTGAAAGAAGTGCATAATAGATTAAATTCAATTACTCATATTTTTCAATCCCATGCCTTTCATATCCCATGCCAAAACATTTGGAGAGTCCCGATTCTTAATTTCACTTCGGCACTACATAAAATGCCTCATTATTTAAGTGTTTGACTGCTAAGTGGCGCAAAAGCGCTGTGTTCATTTGTCTCAAAAACCGTGACGAAGCGCAAATACGCTGTGAGTTTCAGTGTGTCTTTGTTGCTCCGTGGGTGTGAACATAGTCAGTCTGACCTCATGCGTACTTTGTAACATGAGTGCATTCTAAAATAACTAACTGTGCCACGGTTTCGAGACAAATGAACGCAGCGCTTTTGCGCCACGTAGCAGTCAAATGGTTAAGAAACGATCATTTTAGCATAAATTTATGTGATCAATAATTTGGCTCCGTAAATGTGTACCTGCTTGGCATACATCTCAAACCAAAATGTTCTACGAAGAAACATCATTGATTTTACACCTAGTAATATTTAATACCCCTCATACCAACTCAGCAAATCATTTATCATATTCTGTTTTCATCACTGTATGTTTATCTACACATAACAAATTGAGTAATAACTAACACAACGATATCTAATCATTTTTTATATTAGTAATTAACTAAAAAAGTACATAATAAATTTTTATGTTGATGTTACACTTGGCAATGATTGCAGATTTGAAAAATTTAACACAATTTTTTTTCCATATGCTACAAATAGATTTTGTTAATGATACACATGGGCCAAAAGCTTACGTTTAGTGCTATTTGAGTTACGAATAACTGATTTGTTATTCACATAAACCCAGAACCAACGCTAGAGCTCGTAGGGCAGCAGAATTAAGGGAAGGCAATTTTTTTTTTTTTTTTTTTCATTTAGAGAAGCACTAAACAACAATATTAAGGGATGACAACATTTTTATAATTTAGGGAAAGCACTTTGACCCAAAATTTAGTGTGATGTCAAAAATTTAGAACTTAGGGAGGTGCTTGGGAGTAGAATTTAGGACCCACAGAGACTGCATCAGGTGCTCAGGCATCTAGCGCTGACACTCAATAAGCCTTAAGCATATGTGGGAATTTAGTTATTCAGGACTCGAATAAGCCTTAAGCATGTGCAAGAAACAGACTGCTAATAAAATTTGGGCTTAGCTGTCTCAGCGTGTGAAGACAAAATTTAGAAGAACAACTTGTTTTTCGTCGCCAATCTCGTGATGCACAGCCAATAATGTATAGCAGACACAAGGCTAAAATTATACTTTACTGATTCCAAGGAATTTCAGTTAGTGTAGCAGATTACGCTGTTCCTTAACTTTCTCATTTGATCCAGCTTATTATTTTTTATTATTACAGCAATTTTATGAAGCAGGTTTGAACTTTCAATTATGTCGAAAGGAGTTTCTAATTCTGGAGCTGCAATAGGATCTACAAAGCAAATGCATGTTTCAATGTCCATTCAACAAAAACTGGAATTGCTGCAAAAAATTGATAAAGTTATATCTGTCTCAAAATTATATGAAAAGGCATATATAGCATTGGGAAACCAACTGTGTATGTCATAAGAAAACAGGAAGGAACTTTAAGAATTTTTTGTGCATTCTGCACCCCATTTGCAATGAATAACACAAAAATTATTCGGTATGCTAAAAGTGATAATTATGACAAAGCGACCTCCAGCATTTAAAGCAGGCTACTTTTACAAATGGTGTAGTGAAGTGTGAGATACTAAAGGTGGCACTAAGAGTTAGTTAGGCCTTGTAACTCGTCCTGAAAAGACGTGTATCTTGAAGCGCTGATAGGGCTAAAATCCTGTAGCCCCAATCTTAAATATGTATCCATAATGTTGAGCATTGTGTATTATCGTAAAAAATGTTGTGTGTGAATTTTTCTTAAGCCTTGGAAACATACAAGCAGCACCCTGTAACTACACCTCTGGCTACTTGGAGCTTTCATGATTGCTCATCTACATCTCTTGGAGCCACCAATGAAGCCTTGCCAACTAAAATTGGTCGGTAAGACTTATTATATTTATTTACTAATTATTTATTTACTAGCATCAATCTTTGAAAATGAAACATAATGGATGATTTAAGTAAACAGAAAAAGAAACGTGCTATTGTACATAGTAAAGTTACCACACTTCTAAATAAACTTGAGAAACTATTATCGGAAGAATTACGTACAGAACATCTAGAAGATTTAAATTCATCATATGAATTGTTAATTGAATAGCATGAGAAACTTGAAAGTCTTCACTCAAAGATCGATGCTCTAATAATTGATGAAAAAGAATATGATAATGAACTACTTGCATGTGAGTATGATGAAAAAATTAGAACGTTTAAAGCTAAAACTGATAGTAAAATAAGGAAAATTAACAGTAATGAAGTTGTTGAAAGAAATGTACTTGCAACTTGTTATGGTATTAGTAGTACTCTGAATGGTAACAATGTTGTTACAAGTAGTGCTTCAATAAAGTTACCTAAATTAAATATTGAAAAATTTGCTGGTGATCGCAGTAAATGGCTCGAATTTTTTAATTCCTATGATAATGCAATTCATTTTAATTCAAGTTTATACAAAATAGATAAGTTTAGTATTTGAAAAGCTTATTATCTGGTTCTGCAAATAATTGTTTATCTGGTTATGCTTTATTTGAAGAAAATTATGATATATGTATTAAAAGTTTAGAAGAGAGGTTTGGTCGTAAAGATGTTATTATATCAAAATTCATGCAAATGCCGTTACAGTTAGAAAGCTCTATGATCAGTTACAAATCTGTGTTAGAAATTTACGTAGTTTAGATATTACTAGCAGTTCATACGAACAGCTATTGAAATCAATAATTCTTAAATTGTTACCTGAAGTTTTAGCTCTTGAATTTCATAGAAAAAGATCATCTAACCAAAACATTGAAGTGAGTGAATTAATAGAGTTCATTAAAATCGAAACTGAATGAGAAGCAAGTATGTTGATTAATAGCTCAAAAGGTAATAAATACGTAGGGTTAATCCTAAACAAGGGTTTAAAAATTATAAATCATCAACATCTACATTTAATAATTCTGTTAAGAAATTTTGTGTTTTTTGAAACATTTAATTTGTTTTTGGTAATAATGTATGAAATATACTGATGAACAAAAAAGAAAGTACTTAAAAACCTCTAATTTGTGTTATCGTTGCTTGACGAAACATAGGGCAGTTAACTGTAGAACGAGTATAGGAGCTTGTGCAATTTGTAAGAAATCATCCCATAATAAACTCTTTCGTTTATCTAAAAACAAACTAGCAGTTGAGAATTCTAAAACGGAAATGAGTGCAAACCAAAACAAAACTATACTGTCTACTACGCAGTTGAATAAAAAATCCGTATTATTACAAACTTAATCGGTCATCGTGCAATATACACAAAAAACAATTTGTGGAGTGTTATTTGATTCAGGTTCAGAATTAAGCTATTGCTCTAAAGAGTTAGCAAATAAATTAAATTTGCCTATAAAAAGAATAGAGAAGTTTAAAGTTTATTCCTTTGGAAATAATTACCAAGAAAAGGAATTTCCTGTTAGTTCAATAACTCTAAAATGTAGGACTGATCTCTCAAAAAGAATATTTATTGAGGTTTACATAACAGGTAACATATCCCATAATGATAGCTCAGTTCAAGGTCAACTGTCACCATTCTTGATAGTCAACTAGCAGATGATCCAAGTGAAACAAAAATAAGGGGGCATGAATTATTTCTGGTCTGTACAAACAGGCCTAAAAGGGAAAATATCGGATGAGTTATTTTTAATTCAAACATTATTTGGGGAAAGGATCTGCAGATAAAAATCTTCATCAAATCAATGAAGTGGGATGAAGGTTAATACTTGTTATGCGTACGTTAAAGTAGTAGACGCTAAGTCGACATTCAGTTGTTTTGGGACATTCAGTCATTTTGGCGTCTAGAGGAATTCTTTATGAGAGACAAGGATTCATTATCGCCGGAAGATTTAGAGGTTACTGATCTGTTTAATGAGAATTTACATTGCGAATATGGAAAATACATTGTTATTATTTAACGAAAGAAAATCAGAGCTTAAAAATAATTTCCTAATTGCTAAACAGAGGTTTTCGAAGCTAGCAAACAAACTGAGACATAATGAGTGGTTATTTAGTGAATACAAAAAAATTAAATAATGAACAATTAGAGACAGGAATAATTGAAAAATGTTCTAATGCTGTTTATTGCAAACTTGAAAGGGATAGCTATTTTGCCCCTCCTAAGTCCTGTAATTTGACTTGACAAGACAACTACTACTGTACATATTGTTTATGACCGTTCGTCTAAAGACAAAGGTACAAAATCTCTAAACGAGTGTCTAATTCAAGGACCCAACTTGTATGGCAGTTCATTAGATATCATTTTAAAATTTAGGTTACACAAGATAGCTTTTGGGGCAGATATAAAAGGTGCATTTCCTTCTATTTTGCTTGACGAAGATTCGAAAAATTATTTTAAATTTATTTGGTTCGATAATGATGAAAATTCACCTTTTCAAATATAAGAAATGTAGCGATTGCCTTTTGGTACTTGTCAGTCGCATTTCACGCTTGCGGCAACTATTAAATATCATATAAAGAAATATAAAGAGGAACATAATGACATTGTAGAAATGTTAGGTAAATTCTTATATGTAGACGACCTTTTGAATGGGGCCGAAAATTATGACAAAGCATTTTATCTGTCAACTACTGCGGTGAATGTTCTGAAAGATGTAAACATGCATCTTCGTAAAATGAAAAGCAGTTCTAGAATTTTATGAGAACTATAGATTAGAAATGGAATAGATGTTGAGGAAGCTCATCAAAAATTTTAGGCTTAAAGTGGGATACAGATCAAGATAAGTTTAGATGTAACACAATTCAGGGAATCGCTTGATGGACAAACAGTAACTAAAAGACTCATTTTACAAACCGTAGCCAAAATTTATGATCCTATTGGACTAATTTCTGCATATGTTATTAGAGCTAAGTTTATGATTCACGAATTATGGGAATCTGGTAGTGATTGGAATTCCAAGGTACCTGATGAGCTAAGAAGGAAGTTCTTGACATTCTGAAATCGAAGAAATTGTTAACATTAATATTTCCTGGAAGATATTCTTTGTGTGGTTGAGCAGTTAATGCAGAAAATATGATCCTAATTGTCTTCGTCAAAGCCAGTATCAAAGGATGTGGTAGTCTAGCATATCTTCAAAATATCACTAACTTTGGAGACATCCTTTACAAAGATGCTTACACTTCCGCGCTTCAAATTGATGGCAGCTACTATTGCTGCTAGGATAGCTAATTATCTGAAAACACTCTTTAACATCAAGAAATGCAATATTTATTGCTTTAGTGACTCTCAGAAAGTACTTCATTGGATAAAGGGCTCTGCCAATAATATGAAGCCCTTTGTAGCAAATTGTGTTAGAGAGATACAGAATTTAATCGCTCCTTCTCAATGGCAGTTTTGCAAGGGATGTGAAAACCCAACAGATGCTGTATCACAAGGATAAATCTAACAGATCTAATCTGCACAGACAATGAATTTTGGTTTCACGATCCACCTTCAGTAATCAAAGGGTTGAACCTGTTTTAGATCTCGAAGAGGAACTTTTTCTTGAAGAGCAGAAAAAAACTGTGGTGTGCATTGCATCCAATAATCAAAATGAATTTGACCTTCTTACTAAATTTTCATCCTGGAATAAGCTCAAATGTATAGTAGCATGGTGTCTTAGATTTGTGAAAAATGCCAGTTATTCAACATTAAAAGTTAAAGAAGTTTTAACCGTCTAGAACTCAATACAGCTTCAGTCATTATTGCGCACTCCAAGAAAGTGAATTTAAAGCCAAAATCTTGGCGTTAAGAGAAAGAAAAAACATCAGCTTTAACAGCAGAATTATCTCCTTGAATCCCTTCTTGGATAACGAAAATATTCTTCGCACTGGAGGAAGGTTAAGGAATGCTAATATACCTGAAAATCAAAAGCAATAGGCAATTCTTCATAAGAAGCATCACGTGACAATTAATAATTAAGCATTTTCATGAAACTCATCTTCACGGAGAAACTTCACTTACAATTCCAGCTATCCGACAGAAATATTGAATAATTAACTGTAGAGACGCAGTACGCAAAGTTATTTAGAAACTGCATGAAATGCTTCAGAAATCGTAGAAATACTGCACTGTGAATAATGGCCGATCTTCCGGCACCTCGAGTTGTGCCAAGCAGAGTTTTTTTCTAGAGTAGGCCTTGATTACGCAGGGCCATTCCTTGTGAAACCCTGCAAGGGAAGAGGAGTGAGGCCAATCAAGTGCTATATATGCCTGTTCATATGTTTTGCCATGACACTTGTGAGTACACTTGGAGGTTGTGAGTGATCTCTTCAGAGGCCCGTTTAGAGGCACTAAGAAGGTTCGTAGCCCATCGGGGCAAACCGCAAGAAATGTTTTCTGATCAAGGAACTAACCTTGTTGGTGCTGATGGGAAAGTGCGAGTAGTGGACTTAAAAACTATCAATGGTGTAATTAAATGTCCTATCAACAAACTCTCACCATTACCATTTTGCCATTGTGAAATTTAATGACTAAAAATTTTATTCTTATTTCCACACATAATTCAATATATTTGTATTTTAGTTTCATTTTAGCTTCTTAGTAATGTTTCGTGTCCAAGTATAGTAAGTATCTCAATAATTTTCTCTTTCAGCTTATGATGATTTTGAAATTCATATTTTAACTTTAAATTTAACTTGTCATAACATTGTTGAAAATCTTGTTAATAATGAATATTGCATTAAAATAATTCTAAATTTGAAGCTTGTGATGAACAACTGTTCATCACGAGCCAGCATGTTGTGAAGTGTGAGATACTATAGGTGGCGCTAACGCATCAAAAGAGTTAGTTAGGCCTTGTAACTCATCATGAAAAGATGTGTATCTTGAAGCATTGATTGGGCTAAAATCTTGTAGTCCCAATCTTAAATATATATCCATAATGTTGTGTATTGTGTATTATAATAAATGTTGTGTGTGAACTTCGCTTAATCATTGGAAATATATCGACCACACACAGCTACAACTCTGGATACTTAGAGCTTTCATGATAGCTCACCTACAGACACTATTATTGAAAAACAGTATTTAGAAGAAATATATATATATATATGGTTGGCAAACATATTGGCAATAAGCATAAAATATGAAAAACTGGGAAATTTTGAACCCAACATGATTTTGAAGAACTCCAAACTGACTTAGATTCCATTTACAATATAAGGTTGAGGCTAATGAACTATTTACAATATGATTCTAATGTAAAATACATTGACATTTTGTTAGATAGTCTAAAATTCAAGTTCTTTAGCTAATTTCATTTTGTAATTTTTTTACTTTCCATACTGAGAAAATTTTGCATTGGAAAGAAAAAGTTTTATTTACTAAAGAACTTTCAAACACAATTAAAAATGCTGTAGATAAACTTAAAGATATACCATTTACTGATGTAAAAAAAATAATAAATAAATACAAAAATTGACTGAACCTTCACAAAAAGTTCTACAAGATTAATGACATTTATATCAAATATAATTTAATAAAAATCTACACTGAAAATCACTATGAGTGAGCAAATGGACAGAATTTTATCTCTGTAATTTTTTTAGTAAATTCTAAAAATTAAAAATCAGGAATTTCAGTGGTCTACTGGAAGAACTGATAGCTAAGCATTATAGGGACTACAGTACAAAGTCCAAAATGCTGATGTACAACATCTGGAATGATCTAGTATCTATACCTCCAGACCAAAGCAAAAAATAAAATAATAAAAAATCTGGCCCCCTAAAAAATCTAGGAATGTATAACACCCGATAAAAAGAAGCAGATGAGCTGTAATCTAATTTTCCTCCCAAATGAGATTCCTGCATGTTTCTTTCAAACAGCAGCTCTAGCTAGCTGTTGTTTGAAAGAAACATACACAGGGTAGCAAATAATAATACACTGATTGGCGCTGCATTGATATTGGCCAGGATAACATATTTTCTACAAGTGAGTAGCTGCTGGAAAGGGGAAAGACAGTACTTGCATTATGCATTTGCATCCAGTGCAATTTCTGTGGATCCTTTTTAATAACTGCTATTTGGTACCTCCTTAAATTCTAAAAATTTTACTTGCCATATCTACATATCACCTTATTAGAATTTAAAGTGACTGATCTACAATCCGGAATCACCGAAGCCCTGATGATTCTAAATATCAGACATTGTACCATATATAATTCTTAACGTGTTTGCCATGCTAGTTGGAGTCTAGATTTCGAAAGTAATTTTGCTGCTGAAATAATGCCACAAAAGAAATTACTGAACTTTTATTAAGTAATGAACTGAATTCAGAAATTGAATTTCATATGATTATGGGAGACTCAAGGAGGGATTCTATCATTGCCGCAGTGTTGCAGTTCATTAAATATTACCATGAATAAAATTATTTATAGTATAAAAAGTGTCTGAAGCATCCTTCATTGAGATTTAACATTTATTTGGAGAGACCTTCCTTCTCAGGCTCTACATGAAAAAATAAATAAATACATTTAGATTTTCTCTGTAAATACCCCAGATTGCACAATATGCTTGGTTATCAAAATGCTTTCCTTAATAATTGTTTTATAAAGAAGATTAATTAAAACAGGTTACAGTAGATATGCTTAACATTCTTAAAAGGACACTTATTTAGGCACAGCTTAACCTAAGAGAGTCATTCTCCCCTCTGGTTATTTATGGATTCTTCTGTTGTTAATGCACATTTTTCAGTTAATGCAAATGCAGTACTACACTTACCAACATTAATGCAATGATGTAGTATTCTGTCCTGACATACTTTTAGTGAATTAAATACAACTACCCAGATATAAAAGTCATTTAACAACTAGTCACCCTTGATACTAAGTTTAAAAAAAAAATAGTCAAAACTACAAATTTATAAATGATCCACAAATTAATGCTTCTGCAGCTTGATCCCTAAACTATACTTTTTTGGGGGAAGAAGAGAAAGTAATAAACTTTACCTCTGGTCTCCTTGCAGGAGGTTTAAAAACACCAGAGCTCCTGCTCTGCTGAGAGGACTGAAATGGAATCATTTGGTTTTGATTGTTTCTAGGAGGAGTAGCTGCTTTTGCTTTCCTATTCCCATCTACTGGTATCGGTGGAAGAGGTTTACTCGGAGGCGGAGGATCTGGAACCACTATAAAATAAAATACTTCTGTGTTAAATAGACAGCACAGTTGAAATATACATACTGTACTCTACTTTTCAATAACATTATTTTTAAACTCCTCTTCCTTCTTTAATTACATGTGTACCATGAAATATATTATATGTATACCAAATACCATGAAGGTGTTAGTTAACAAGGTATATATATCCTATACAACAAATGAACAACATATTTATTTTTTGTGATATAAAATATCACAAAAAATAAATTAATACTTTACAAATAAAATAATACAAAGTTTACAAAATTAAAAATGTTTATAAATTAATTTAAAATTAATTATACTGCATGGCTAGTTGGAGAACTACAAGAATAAAAGCTTATTCTCAGCACTGAAGATGAAACTGAACATCCTAATCATTAATTGAAACAAATTCAGATGATTTAAATTTCACAATCCAGAATACATTAAATACCATATTTCTGGCATACCTTACCCTAGCTCTTTTTTTTCCCCTTAGCCAGACTCTGAAAATTTTAAAACTATTTCATAATTTTCCCATTTCTCAAAGTCTTCAAACAATGAGCTCCATAAATTTTAAAACAGATTTGTCCTTAGTGACTAATTTCGTTTTATTAATGAAGACAAACCTTTGCAAACTACCTGCAAAAGTCACACCAAACCTTTCCCTTCTAACTATTGAATTTCATGCCAGCCTTATGCAAGAGCCAACCCCTCACAGTGAAGCAAACATTCAGTCTATGATTTCACCAAATTGGCTGCACATTCATCTCTAATTATTTATGGATGATTTGAGGCCTAAGAAGTAGCATAGGCAAACTAAGACTGGGCAAGTTCTAAGTTACAGGGAAGTAGAAATGAAAATACCTTATTAGATATTGTAATGCTAAAATTATGTATTCTTATTCGAATGCATTTTTTGTTTAAAGAAATAATATTGTGATAGCTACCTGTAGTTTATCCATGGCTACTTTTTAACAGTTATGGTCTTACTGTAACCACATCCTCTGTAAATTAAATTACTCACATAATTTATCCCTCTCAGTTTTCAGATGATAAAGTTAGTCAAAAAAGTACAGATATGCAAGAAATATAGTAATTCAAAAGCATCTATTTTATATACTTTTAAATTAATTTTTAAAAAATTCAATGTATTCCCCATACAGTTTTGCAATCTTCATATATAAGCACTATATAAAATTTTGGCAATTCATCAGTAGCAAAACAGACCACTCAAACTACTTGTAATGTTCAAACTAATTATACAGGGAAAGGAATAATTTTAAAACTTTTTTAATTCCTTTAATTACTTTTTAATTTTCTTTTACTGTGAGTCTTACTGCACTGTATTTTGTAATATAACCTTTTTAAAGCACAAATTACCGTTATACATTCATCGTCATTATTTTCATTCCAGTAAAAATTCCCAGTGTGTTACCAATTTCATAAGAGGAATATTTTTTTTACACTTAGTAATAAGAGAGAATATGATAATTATTTGTATTACTTAAAATATGATTCTAAAAATTTCACTACAGCTGCTTCTAAAAAATTATATTTTTTTGTAAAATATCAAAAACAAATTAAGATAATACCAAAAAATAGGTCAATATATATTATTTTCAAGACTAACATTAGAAAAGACAGATCATACATATCAACATACTTTTTAATGGGCAATTAAACTGTGATAAAAAAAAAATCTCAAATTAACTAGATTTTTCTTCAATCTAGCTAAGCTAGTTTTAGATTTAATTAATATGATTAACACCTTCCAGTTGACATTATATATTTACCAGAAGCATTTTTGCAGTTAAGTTGAATGTAGAAATGTAACTACTCAAGAAGGTTTAATCTGAGATAAATATAATTTTAAAAATTTATATGCATTACAATTAACTATAAAAAAATTATTGTAGAATCAAATATGAAAATCTTAGACAAATAAAACAAATTAACTAATGCATCCTTAATACTTAACCAAGCACAGCAATTTTCATTCTGTTTTCATCTGAAATATTAATTAATTTATGCTAAAAAAAATGGAATTTTAATAAAAGAGGAAAATAATTCACATTTTCCCACCTGCACACTTTTATAAAATTGTAAAACAGAGTACAAGGCCAACTATTTGGCATTCAACTAACCAGGAAGCTCAAGTAACTGGAATATTTTTAAATTCTAGGAAAAGGACAAACTTTTAAAACGTGTATAGAACTATGACTTGGAACAAATAAAACTGTTAGCAAAAAGTGTGATTCAGTGCCGATAATGAATAGGCGTGACATCATAATACAGTGATAAGATTTTTACCTTGATGCAACGAAAGCATGCTAGACATACAACTAATAAGTACAATTTCTGCTAGTCCTAAAATCTGCTGCCCTATTTTGCCACCCCAAAATTCAGCAGGTCCTCTAAATTTTAATCATTTTTGCTACCCCTACATTCTGTTACTCAAGACAACCACTACAGCTCTGGTGGTGGCACTAATTTTACGTAAACCCAATTAATTCTGGATAAGTCAGTTTAATTTTTTTAAAGAAGGATATAATTCAACATCTATTTATCTGTTTTCCTCTCGCATTTTGAAAAAAAAAAAAAAAAAAAAGATTAAAATTTGGGACCTGTCGATGTGCTTATTTCATATGCTTTTATATGTTCGTAAATTATATTTGTTAATTATCTAACTAAATAAAGAGTAATGAGTTTTTTAAACTTCTCCCACAATGATTGGCAGAATCTCCTCCAACTTTTATTGTTCATTAGTTTTCATCGCACAAGTTGTTTTACACTATGCCTAATGCCTATAAAATTTTGTAGGCCTTTATGTTTGAAAGGCAGTTTCTTTTCAGATTCTGGCAGAATGTTAAATATGTCTTTTGATATTCATGCTGGTAACAAATAAGATAACCGTTTTTTTAATATCAAATTGGAAATTTCTCCTTCCATAGTTTGGCTTTTCTGCTGTTAACTGCTGATAAAGCTCAACTATCTGAAATACTTCCCAAGATTTCCCAAGCTTTCCAGATAGTCAAGCTTTACTGTAAATAAATAAACTTAGGTTTTGTTTTCCCCCCCCCTCATATACTTATTCAATAAAGTTAAAATTACCAATAAGCCTCTGAGGTGGTACAGGATGCCTAGGAGGAGGGGCAGGAGTTTCGATCTGAAGGGCAGGTGCAGACGGAGGTTGAAAACTACTCCCAGGCACCCTTGCTTCATTAGAAGTTAACGTCCGACCTTCTTGTAATTGTTGGAAGTTTCTCCTAAGTGTCGAATCCTGCTGTACTGGCTCTATAGAGCTAAAATATAAAAGATAAATAAACAGTTGATACATAACTTGTTATTTACTAAAAATTTTGACATAAGTCAACATTAAAAATTCAGCAAAATTTTAACTCAGCAGCTCTGACTAAGAAAAATTTTGTATGAAATACCCCAACAAAATAGAAAATACAATCAATGTTATATAAAAATTTAACTCCTGTACCACTTCCCCCCCCAACACATTCTGAATGTTGCCATGTTATTTGTGCTCATTATATTTAAGTAATTACTTTTAAACATTCTAAATAAATAACACAATTTAAAACTCTCTACAGACACCTTCATTGATATAAACTTAATTCTGTACATACCAATTTCAATGCCCAGTTACAAAATTAAAATAAGAAAATAATGAAACCCATAATGCACATTATGGGAAACTTTGCACAAGAGCTCTCATTTAAAAAAAGGGCGTTAGCTCGCTTTAATGTGGTCAAGAATACAAAAAGCATTACGATTTTGAGCACATAACTTAATTGTGTATTAGCTTAATTGTATATTAGCTGATACACCAAACAATCTACTCAATATAATTATGTATTAGGAGCTGTTTGCTGACACTACTTACAATCTAGTATCTTTTGAGGATAAAATTTTTAGACACTTTTTTTTAATTATTTGATAAGTATTGTTTGCAATTGCATTAGACTGTTACTTCCTGCTGCCTCGTCCTAATTTCTGCAAAGTAAGAATGCAAGAAATTTCTCTTGCATTTATTCCCAGCTTTTATTCCAACATTTTGCTGGTTGTTGATATTACATTTCCATTATATATCTTCTGCCATATATGTAGTCTCTCACTGCATAAGAATCAGAATGTCTGCAACTTTTTTGCAAAATGCCATACAAGCAGAAAGAATGGATTGATTCTGCTTCATTCCTCAGAAAATCTAGTGAATGCAAAATAGTTAAATGAACAAAAGACAAACCAGCATTGTCTTGTGAGCTTTTTGCAAGAAAAGAATTGATACAATGCATAATATGCATTTGCTTTAACTGGACAGATGCTGATGTTGAAATAATAATAATAATAATAATGTGGACACCACATAACTTCCTTGTACAGCCTATTAATAACATTTTTCATTTAAACATATTAGTTCAACTCATTGCAAACTTTTATTCATAATCATGAACAGCACTAAAATCTTATACAGAAAAAAATTACCGACGTCCACCTTCAGCACACCCAACACCAACACATGTCGTGAACGAAAAAACACATGGTCAACAAAACTCTTTAGTCAATGTTACAGTTACATATGAAAATTTAAAAACAATAACACAGCAAACCAAAAATGTTCTGAAAATTCACACACTTAATTTAAAAAAAATTAAATGCACATCATTACAGTTATTAGCAATGACAAATAATTATTACACTTTTCTTTCATAATTTAAATTGATTTTTTTACCAATGTCTGAGCTATCACCAGGCCACTGAAATGCTAAGTTCAAATCCAATGTATTGGACTGGTGCAGCCATCTACTGACAAGATAGTGAAATGCAAAGTGTTCTAACAAACATATTTCTTTGGATTTTTCATTAAAAACTGAAATTAAAAATTGCAATAAAATATCCCAGTCAATTTTTATCATACAGGAGTCAAACTTCTTGAAATTTTTTCATACTGAGTGCGAAACTTTTCCATGCAATAAATATACGAACTGAGGGGCTCATATTAAAAGTTATATTTCGTTACTTTCAGAATTTTTTCTTTCTTTCCCTTTCAAATTCGACATTGCTAAAACATGAATATTTTCTTAACTTAAACTATTCCTGTAACTGGAAGTATATGACTGCAGCCAACGAGAGAAAATAAAGGTTGGGTTAGAACTTTTAAACAAGTGAGGGGCTGGGATATGTGTACATACACACACGTTTGATTCTCCCAGTTGAAATAAAAAAGGGAGGTGCATTACTAGATTTTATAGCAGTTCCATTTACAAAATTTCCAAGTTCTACAAATAATTGTTTTTGAGTTATGCAACAATGTATACATGTACTTGCATCAAACAATAATTCCTTTTGAATCCATTTTACAATCTGGGGAAAAAAAAAAAAAAAAAAGGTCCTTTATTCTGTTTATATGTACAGATATTGTGCAACAAAATCATCCAAACGGATTTGAAAATGGTCAAATTGAATATTTCTGTTAAAATATGATATGCAAAATTTTTTGCAATTGCAACAACTTCTTTTACTTTGAACAAGGAAATAAAAATAAAAGGGGGAAAAAAACCTCCCAACTATCTGTCCCCCCCCACAAAAAAAAAAAAAAGAAAAAAGAAAAGAAAAGAAAAGAAAAGAAAAAAAAAAAAAAAAAAAAAAGAAAAAAAGAAAGAAAAAAGAAAAAAGAAAAAAAAAGAAAGAATATTAACAAGAAACTAAAAATCTTAAAAAATCTCATCTTTCTAAAAGAATCAGAAACAGATTCTAGGGTTGCTAACAGACGCACACAATACTGCTTTTTATGGTATCATATCAGAATAGATTGCTCAATGAGGTGAATCAGTTATTTTTTACAACTCACACTCATTAACATTAATTTTCATGAATAAGATTGGAAACAAAGAGTGAGTCAAGAATAGGTGTAAGACTGAAAAAAACAGCAGAAAGAATCTGATTAACTGCATGGTTAGAAGAATCTACTTTATTGAACTGCTAACTCTCTGGAGTGGTTTCTTTCAATTGTAGTTTTGAGATTCTCTAAAATTCTCTCTACACAGGACAAACAATAAAATTCTGAAATAACAAAAATGTTCAAAAAGGAATCGAAATTACAAAATGAAACTCATTTTTAACAAGGAAGACGAAACACAATTTTTTCTTCTAAAACAAGAATAGAAATTTCCTAGCAAACTACCAAAGCAAGTACTCAGCGGTTAAAATCTACAGGACGTACCACACTATTCTGTTGAATTGCCCATTTACTCACTCAGTAAAACTATTTTTTTTTTTTAATTAGTTTGCAAGCAAACAGCAAATATCAGGTTGCCAAACACTAGCAGAAATCATAGTTAGGACTAGTTATTTTTGGCAATGTATCCACAGGTATTGTTTAACACAAGCATCAAAATTAATATTTATTTTCTTAAATTTCCATACTTTTAGAATTTTTGAGAAATAAAATATAAATACTAACCTAGGCTCTCCAGCTAAGCCAACATCCTCTTCTTCTCCTTCACTACCACTATACCTATACTCCTCTTGAATTTCACCTAGAAAGGTATTAGAACCATGAACAAAGTATTTTTCAACAGTTATGTAATAATGACCATAGACCACAACAAAACACATATTTTTAACATACTAAATTTAAGCTTACTTTGTTAGGTTTCATTAAAAAAGGACAAGAAATGTTTATTTTTAGCACCTTTACCTCCTCTCTTGTGTTTGCGACATCGATCAATATGATCTTTTAGTTGAATACGCACTTGCCTTTCTGTGGGTTGGTCACGAATAAAAGGATGTTTCAAGAGTTGATCAGTATATGGCCTCTGTTGATAATCTTTTACTAAAACAGTTTCTATAAAGCTATGAAATTTCTTATTCCACTTTTTTGACTTTAACCGAGGTGGAGGATTCCGTGGAATGAGAAACAGAGCTCGCATAGGATGCATATCACATAATGCTGAAAGTATAACAAAGAAAAGTTATGAATCAACATAAACTAGAATGAGCCTTTGATATTTTTAATAAGCAATCTAACAAAATGACCATAACAGATATGTAAATACTAAACTTTTAACTAATAGCAATACTCATAAATTAAAGAACAAAATACAAAATAAATTTTAAAATTTTTTATGCACCAAACTGGCTGTGTTACATCAAACATAACAATGAATCAGAAATAAAGGTAATAAAGAATCCTGCCGTCATCAGCACCTTCATGTCAACTTCTTGTGCAACCTAAACTTATAGTCTAAAAATCAACTAATACATAGTTACAGAAATAGAATTTTCATGATTATTCGTTATCTACGTCTTTATTCTAAAATAGGCCATTTTAAGGTAATAAAAATTTATAGTAGATGGCTATCTAATGTTCTACAAACAGGTTAGGCTAGGTAAGGTTAGGTTACCTGAATATGCAAATCACATAACGACTATCTGTCTAAAATGAGGTATGCCTTCATGGAAGACTTTCAAAGGAAACTTGCTCCCATTTACATTTTTCGTCAGAAAAACTATGAAAGCCAGCGAATCAATCAGTCTGTTCCCCTGAGGTCAACTTTGAGTATTAAGTGATTTTAACCACTCTGCTACTGATGTTGATTTCTATAAATAGATAACTACTGTTGTTGCTGTTCTATTTGCAACTTACTGCACTCATTGGGAAAGGCCAATACCCATCAGTCATTTAGCTATTTCATCATAAAGAACATTGCTCAGACTATACCAGAGAGAATAATGAATTACACTCATAAGAATTGGGAAGATCCATACCAATTTTGATGAAAAACAGATCCCAGGATCTGCCATCACTCTTTCCCTCTACTAAACTACTCAAAAAGGTTTCCGGCTTGCCTGTATTTTGAGTATCCTCATGCAACACAAACACTATATACTTACAAACGTCCAAGCCTTTTTTAGAAGTTGAATGCAGGCCCAAAGATAGAGCTAGCATTGCTAATCAATTTATTGATCAAAGTTGCAACAAGGGAATGCTGATAGAATTCAAATATTGTATTAAAATTTAATAACAGTCATGTAGAAGTAATTAGTTGGCTGAATATCAGTATTTTAAAAATTCAAATGCTTTCAAACTAGCTCCTTAATTCTAAAATAACTAAAACATATAGCATTCTCAATTCCTACTGCCATAGAGAAAGCAAATCCAGTGAAGAAAAACTAGGGTTACATAAACAGAACATTAGCACCTTTGATTATTTTGTAGGAACTGCAACTCAGGTAAAATTCTCTCAACATGGAAACAGAATTTGTACTTATTTCACTGCATGCATGACGTATCAGGACTGCTTCATAATGATATCATCACTTTCCATGAACAGATTAAATTGATCAAGTACCTACAACTCTGTACCGAGTTCTGCTAATTCTTAATTAGCATCATATATCACAGCAAGGTTTAAAATGAAATCAATATTAGTGATTTTTCATACAGTCCTTCATGTAAAGTTTGCTTATTTTTATCTTTATCTTATCTGTTTTAGCACTTAAAATTGGCAATTTAAGCTTCATAATTTAACCATATAGCAGAAACTTACCCAAAGCAGGAAGCAACCCACCTATTATTTTAAATCCTTCCAACTCCTAAAATTTTATTGTCAAGCTGTTTTACATGACATTTTAATTTCCTTGCATATTTAGGAAATTAGTGATACACAACATATATTTTATCAATAAATAATTGGAAGTAGTCTGCTTGCAAAAGGAAGGCTTTCTTTATTACAACTTATTTGTAAAGTTCGAATGAAATAAAATTTTAGAAAACTGATGCTTAAGCAATGTCCTAGAAAACCTCGTCCTACCCTTGCAGCCCCATTACTTATAACTGCAATGAGATTTACTTTACGAAAATAATCCTACAGTTAAAGAAAAATTAATGAAAAAGGATTATTGGCGATAAGGTGCACTGCCATCATAGGGAATGCAATGTACAAGCTTCATATTCACAACACTGAAACAGACACATATGACTAAAAATTGTCCACACTGTTACTAATTCTTTCCCAACATTCTGAATGCAAAACTTCAGCTCCTCATTTTCGGATGCGATGCTCATGGAAAGTCTCCCAGGGTGCTTCTTTTCTTTAATGGACATTCTTCTGCCTTTAAAGTGTCTGTGCATTCCAACTCAAAATATTCCATATGAATTACTGAAGCACATACAATGCTTCTATGAATAATTTGCCCAGTTTAATGCAGAATTTTGGAGAGGCTTGTTTTTAAATCTTTCTATCCACAATGTAACTGTATAGTACTACAACAGACACATAGTTTTAATAATACTACTATAACAACTCCAAAAGTTAACATACACATGTTTCTTGGCACACTCCTTTATCATGAACGAAGGTCACTATAGCCACTAATGCAGCCTTGTGCTGCCATTTGTTGCCATGCCATAAAGTCAATCTATGAAGCTTTTGATGCAACTGAATACAATATTTATTCCCACATAATTAATATAGTATATAATATTGGATATTTACATCTTATTCTTGCCCCTATACACAAACACAAAAATGAAAACTTACAATAGATAATTTAGTAATAGTAACAATAGTAAATTATTTTACTATAGTAATTTTACAATAGCAAAGTTAAATTAAATTTAAATAATTCTCTTGTGCCATTGCTACAAGTAATTAATTTGCAAGTGATTAATTTAGTCTTTAAAAAAAATTTTTAATTTTGGGGATTAATTTTTTTGGACTATTATATATTTTTTCATGTATGCTCTCGGAATTTAAATGATATTCTAAATTAGTTCACAGCAATAATTAATCTTTTATTTGTATGCAATTAAATTAGCTTTATACGAATAGAGAGTATTTGTTTAATTCAAATTTTAATAAAGTATACACTTAAAGCAAACAGGCATTTAACTACAAAATTTGCTAGATTAACTAAACATTTTTGTTGCCAACATGCAATACATAAAACTTAATAAATCACCTAAATATCCATAATATATTTGGAGTTGGTTTAGCAAGGAATTCTAATATTTAATAAAAAATTTTCTCTCTCCCAATTCACAAAATGTTTAGGGAGGATACCTCTCCCTGCATCCCTCTAGGAAAGAATCTCTGACCTATATGAATTTTGCCACATTAACCTATCTGAATCATTCCATATTAAGTTCACATAGTTACAATTCCCATAAGCCTTTTATTAATTAATATAAGAAGGAACAAACATTTTTCCAACAACATGTGCAAGGTCAGGATTACACACAATTCATTTTTGCTTTACATATTTCAAGACCACAAATTAGAAGAACTACAAAATTTGAACAAACATATATATATATATATATATATATATATAAAAGTTAATAAAACTCTAAATGTGTAAAATACTCCAATTCTGCATTCTGGTTACATCACCTCCAAACATGAGAAATGCATCATTTAACCCCTGAAACTACTTTATCATAAAATAACTTTTCATATATTGGGTCATGTAAAAAGGTCTCTACGTTTTTTTGCCACTAGATGGTGTTCATGCCTATATATATGGCAACACTCACCCAACTGTCTCACACAAACATGTGCTTAAAAGGTGACATTCAGCTTCCATTGTTCGTGAAAATAGTATTCTAATGTGTTGCTTGTGTAAAAAGTTGTTTTGATTTGAAAATGAGTAAAATATCTGAAGAAATATGTTATGTGATGCTTTTTTACTTAAAAAAATGTAAAAAGGCTGCAAAAACATGCCAAAGAATTTGTAAAGTGTTCTGTGAGAATGCTGTGAGTGAACAAAGGACCCAGAAGTGGTTTGCTGGATTCTGTTCCAGAAATTTCGATATCAAAGATGTACCTCGCTCTGGTCGGCCAGTCACTGAAAAAGTCGATGAAATTTTGCAACTGTTGGAGCAAGACCGGCATGTAAGCTGTCAGGAAATAGCAGAGGCACTAAACATCAACCACATGACAGTTTGGAATCATTTGAAAAGAGCAAGTTACAAAAAAAAAAAAAAAGTTCAATGTTTGGGTGCCACATAAATTGCAACCTGGCGAAACTATCAATTCAGCCCTGTACTGTGCACAACTTGACAATTTGAATGAAGCAATGCAGAAAGTGCAACAAGAATTGGCCAAAAGAAAGGGAGTTGTGTCTCATCATCACAATGCATAAAGTCACACACATCTTTGATGACTCGGAACAAACTGATGGAACTCGGTTGGGAAGTTTTGATGCATCCACCTTATAGCCCGAACCCTGCACTGTCTGACTACCATTTTCGTCAGTCTCTGCAAAATTTTTGAAGATAAACCACAGATATTCTACACCGATGAAATTATGAAGCTACTCAAAAAATGGCAAAAGATCATAAATAATAATCATCAATATGTACTTGATTAAAATTGATTTTCAACAATGAAAATTTTTGTTCCAAAATGTACCAAAAAAGCGCAGAGACTTTTTATATGACCCAATATATAAAATAACAATACATATTTTTAAGTACATGGGTTAAAAGGAAATACATACGTGGTTGAGATTCTGCCATTTCTAAAGCAGTTATTCCTAATGACCACAAATCACTCTGTAAAAATGAAATGTATAGATTATTAAAAACTAATCATTCCTAATAAAGAAAAGAAAACAAATTCACTATTTGACAAAAGACATTTCCAGTAAGAAGAAGACAAAACTGTTATAAACATCATGTTTTGATTACAATATAAAGAAATATGAACCAAAGTATATGAGCTATTTTTATTTTACATACAAACATGGCCACAAAGACATTTGAAACTACTACACGTATCAAAAGAATCAAAGATTAAAAAATGCAAATAAAATAATGCAGCATGTTTAAATATGCATGTATTTATAGCTTTAAAGGAATTATTTTTATACAATATGTACCTTGAAATGTGGAGGTATGGATCAATGATCATATTAAAAAAAGCCAGGGGTCTTAATGGCTCTTGCAACTAGATCAGCATAACACATTATAGCATTTGTTTCATATCTGAGGTATCTCAGAAGAAAAATTCAATGCGGGATGAGTGATGCAACTCATGATGGCAAAAAGAAAGTTTTTGTGCTTTGAACATCAATTATCCTCAACCCTCTGGCTGATCATCCCGCGATTTCCACAGGCAACTCATATGTAGCAAAATTTGCTTATCCCGCGATTTCCACGGGCATATATTTTGCTTCCTTTAATGAGGAGCGGATCCCGTTTTTTCCCGATTAAACCATTGAAATAAATTATATACAGTATTAGGCGTTTAGTTTACATTTTGGCCAAAAGATATCAATTGTCCACTAAACTGTGGCATTTGAAGACGCGCGATATTAGCGCTCAAACTTCACTTTTTTCCGCATTTTTATTACAGAAATGGCTGCTAGAAAACGTTCAGCGATTATTTTGATTATTTAATTAAATTATTGAATTATTAATTAGATTTATTGATTACATTAATAATTAGATTGATTATTAATTAGATTTATTGAAACGGGTGCAAAAACTGTGAAGTTGGACTTTGCCTTGAACCCTGTTTTGAACTCTTTCATGCTAAACTGCATTTCTAAGGTATTTTTCCCTCAGCGCTTTATATTTTCTTAAATTTTAAACATTTTACCTTTTAATATTATGCAATAAATAGAAATTAACTGTAATTCGACTGATTTTTTATTTTTATTTTTTTTTTTTTTTTATTGTTGTTGTTGTGATAACATCTGAAATTGGTTTTTCTGGCAACTTAGTTTTTCATGATAAAAATCTACATAAAAAATATTTTCTAGAAAGAAAAAGTGCATTTTTCAATTCTCCAATATATATAAGGAATGAAAAAAAAAATTGGAAGCGATTTCGGTCCACAAATTGAGCAGTCAGAAGGTTGATGGTAATTACTTGCAGCGCCAACAATGTTCTTGTGAGAACAATTTTTTTTATATAGAAACACGCTCATAGTGTCTGCAACCATGTTTCTATATAAAAATAGTTTACTTCTGTATATCTGACAAACCTTTAAAGCTTATCCATGTACTTATACATGAAATAATACAGGAATTGGTAACATGGAGATACAGAAAGAAGTTTCCAGTCATAGCTGATGGCAGAGTGTCCCTAATATGTGGTGAAACATGGTTCATGTTCAGAAGTCTACTTCCAGAAAAATACAATGTATTACTGCTTCAATGCAGCATAGTTACCTTGGCTTGGAAATTATTTGTAAGTCACCAGAGAGAAAATGGGACAATAAGCATATCTGACCTAGAAATTGTTTACATTTTTTTTAAAAGAGCGGCAACAGAGAGTCTAGCTAGCAACAAAAGCTGAGAACAAATGCAGCTTCTCTAAGATGAAATCCTCGCTCGGAATGACTTGGTTTTGATAATGAACGAGTTTTGGTTTGCTTTATCCTGATTAGTTAAAATTTAAGTTTCTAAAATTAGTATTGGCTGCAGCCTTAGGTAAGCTATCTGCATCATGAGTTTTATGTAAAAATCATGTGATAGCCATTAATTTTAAAATTACGCAATTAGGTTTAATATAAGCAGCTACTATTTTTAGGATGCAAAGGGAAAATATCCAAATTAAAACAGAGGGTTAAGGGACTATGCAAATCATAATTAGTATTTTGATTTATTATATAATCTAACATACAACCCTGTTGCACTCATAAACAGCATGAAAGGCCTTCTCAGGATGCCAACTGAAGCTCTTATGAGGATTTCGGCTCACCATGCATTTCAAGTGCAGATTCTTTTCTACATGAGAGGGAGCTGCAACACTCCCAGTTTTCTTGTTTTGGGAAAAGCAGACATGCTTAGAACTTTCGGTTTGGGTTGTGTGTGTGATGCCCCAGATCATTGTCTACTTTAAGTAACTGTGTTTGATATTTTAACAATTTCCATAAGATTCTATTACCGAGTGATCTTTAGAGATGTGTCCTGGTTCATGTAAATATATGCTTGTTTGCATCATTATAAAGATGGTACATACGGCATATCTCCCGAACACTTTTTGAATTAAAAGTGCACTAATTTATGTAAATATATATGTGTGTATGTATTATTAAAAAGAAAGTATATGTCCCATATGTCTAATGAATTCCTTTCAAGTTACATTTTAGAAATTTAAAATTTGAAAAGTACACTGAACTGCTTAAAGGGGGGGGGACTTTTAAGAATTAGCAAGTTGAATTCCGATACCTCATTCCACACGGACAGTATATGCTTACCAACATCGATGTATTTTTCAAGATATAAATGTGTCTTTCTGTACAGCAGTCATAGCAATACTAATCACTATTCTGTCTGGGGCGCACTTTAGCAGAAAGATGGCAAGAAAAGAAATTATTTCCGCCAGTTGTTTAAGGTTGCAGATTACAAATATTAATATTATCAATGGCAATATTATGGCTATTATACTGAACATTTGTAATACTAACTGCATTACAAACTGTGCTGTGCCGTAGTACGAAAGTCTGATACAACTAAAGCCTCACCAGTGAAAATTTTCACTTTTCTGTTAATGAAATTTTTCATTATTAAAAAATCTCATGTCTTTGAGTGCATCATTGTGAAAACTTCATCATTTACAGACATCATTTCTATACTTATTGAACTACTGCATTTAAACTCTTCTGTTACTTTTGTATCACCAGCATACAAGTAATGATGAATTTTTATGATAACATAGGATTTGTGAGGAGATACCTGCACAGATAGCCAATTCAGCAATTTTATTTTCTCATGAAATAAGCAGCAGACGTACAGAGCTTTATGGGTACAATTGGTAGGACTATTCTAGATCACACGTTCCTTTTGACTTTCTTGTAACAAATTTGAAGAAAGAGCAGCAACAGCAAGCTAGCAGAAGTAAGTTAAGGTGATAAGATATGTTAAAGTGTCTAATAAAAAGGTCCAAGAATCAGTTTTGATTTGACATTATTCTGATTAGCTACAAAAGGTTTAAGTTTTCACATTTCTATAGCTTGAAGCATTATGTAAGTGCCTTTGCTATGAACACTATATAAGAATCATATGGCAAGGAATAATTTTGATATGATACAGTTTAGAGCAGCAATTCTCAACCAGTGGTATGCAAAGAAATAAAGTATTTTAACTATTAAATTCGAAAATTTTATACCCCAACATCATGTTTAATTTTTTCTCTAACACTGGTAAATTTATGCAATCTGAGCTTTTTTCAAGATCAATAGCCACTCATAGACATTAGCAAAATAAGCTGTTTTTATTTTTCCAAATATTCTTTTAATAGACATAACAAAATTTATCATAAATAATGTTTTTAAAAGTAGTCATAGAAATGATGTTGCATTTAATAGGAAATAAAAATAAGTTCCTATAGCAAGATAATAGTACCTCATTAATTCTTTTAGAGTGGATCGATTTATTAACATGTCTACGCTATAGTGGCCACCATTTCCGGGCTGTGTTTTTGATTAGAATATTATTTTACGTCCATTTACTGTCTTCTAACAGCGGGTATTTTGTCTTCTTGTTACTCTGTATTCCTTGCTTTTCTAGGCGATTTCAGAATGTGTTCACTTGATTTTGAAGAACTCTAATATATCGTTCATTTAAATATTTGCGAAAAATAATAAAACAAACCTAAATTTTTCAAAATGGAAAAATGGCTAGGATTGACTAAGTGAAAAAGTGATGAATCACAGGTGATGGATCCGAGACAATCTACCACTGCTAAGAATATTGAAAAGAAAAATGTTTATAGAAAATATAATGAAAGTTATTTATCTTTTGGGTTTACTTAGAATTGAGATGAAATGGACCCTCAACCTCAATGTGTTGTTTGTGGTGAACTATTATCCAATTAAAAAATCAAACCATCCTTTCTTTAGAGAAATTTTGAATCTAAACATGCCGATCTAAAGGATAAATCTGAATAATATTTTAAGAGTACCTTAATGGAGTTCAGAAACAGTAAACAAGTAATGAAAGATTTTGTTATATCAAGTGAAAAAGCTTTGGAAGCTAGTTACATAGTAAGCCTAAGAATTGCCAAGACTGAGAAGGCTCACACTAGTGGGGATATTACCAGCAGCTAAAGATACTGTTTTAACATTATTCAATGAAAAAGTGGCTTATGAAATTAACAATATTCCATTATTATATGATAATCTATTAAGTAAGTTGAGGAATTCATGCCGATGTCAGTTAGTCGTTGAATTCATGAAATGGCAAATTCCACAGTAGAGAAACTTATTCAAAAATAAAATAAATAAAACACAGTGAATATTTCGCACTACAATTGGACGAAAGTACAGATATAACAAACCTTGTTCAATTACAGTTTACATACATTTCAAAGACAGCTAGATATTGCAGAAGAATATTTATTTTGTGGATCTCTTCATGATAGAGAGCAACTGCAAATGAAATTTTCAAAGTAATTGACAATTTTACATCTGAGAATGATATTTCTTGAAATAAGTACATTGCCGTATGCAGTGACAGAGCTTGGGCTTTCACAGGAAAACATTCCAGTGTTATTTCTGAAATAAAGTCGGACCTGAAACTAAATTTACTGACTGCTCCATTCAT